AGGTTTGAGCCAAAGGTTATGGTTGTCAAGTATATCTAGAACTTCGGTGACTATGCCTTCGTGACGGACACCTTTCTTAGTGTATATCATGGTGTCGGCCAAATATGCAGCGGTGTCCTTCCCAATGCCGCCAACCATAATATCTTGGATAAAGAATTGAAAATACCCGGGAGCACCTGTTGGACCAAAAGGCATGGACAATGGGGCAAACTGGCCTTGTTTACAAATAAACGCCAGTACATCCTCTGATTCTTTGTCTACCTGTAGGTTGCTGTAGGCATTGCGAAGATCTAGTTTAGTAAACTCTTCCGCATCTAATAAGCTGTTGACCAGATCCATGGTCAACAGCAGCAGGTATTTGTTTTTGATAGTCAAGGCGTTTAGCTTTTGGTAGTCAAAACATGGTTGTAGGTTGCCGTCCTTCTTTCCAGTAAAGAGGACGGGCGCTGCCCATGGTGATGTAGTCCGCCGTATGTTGCCATTGGCCAGTCCCGTTTCAATCATCTCGTCTAGTACAGTGTTTTCAGCTGGCGAGAGTGGGATGATCCTGCTAGCCTGAGGTTGCGCGCCAGGGACCAAATCCACTCAAAAGTCGTATCTCCGTCTAGGCGGTAGGCTTTGAGCTTTTGACTTCTGAAATAAGTGCAGGTGTCAATGGTAGCACAATGGGACCATTTCCTCGACTGTTCTGGTAGGTAATTTAGCCTTTTCATCTGCCGCTATCCTTGCTGATGTCAACCACGATGTTTTGGCTGTGTCAACCGTACTGGTCCTATTTTGGGAATGTGAACACTGGCCAGCTGCTTCTACTAGGATTGAGTTTTCTTTAAGATCGTACTCACATTGCGGGGGCAGATGCTGATTGACTATAATCACAGCCCCCTCGTCACTTTTCCTAGTTTGTCCATTTGCTTCCACTTCAGGGTCACGGATGGTCTTGGTCAGAATGGACGAAGCTGCTGATGCAGCCGCATAGGACTTGGTAGCTGTTGTAGTACATGTGACGCTCGTGGCTGAAGAGGTGTCATGGTTGAGGGCCTTGTTGTCTGTAGTCTCTAATGTTGAATATGATACTGGCTTGCCAGCTGCTTCAACATGTACAGGATGACAAAACGCCTCTGACTCACCCTGCAGGGATGTTAATGTAACATGATTGTTACACATCCCCTCGTCATTTTGCCTAGTGTCCCCCGTGGGCTCAAATTCTTGACCGTGCAAGGGTGTTTTTGGGTCAGACAAAGCTCTGATAACAGCTGCAGGGTGGTCTTTAAGCGTCTCGGATTGCGGATTTTGATTGCTTATTGTTGTTGAGGTCGATAATCGGTGGGGGATCTGTGATGTAGCAGGGATAGAAAGCTTGCCAGCCGTTTTGACATTAAGTTGTGGAATAATGTTATCGCACTCACATTGCGGGGGCTGATGCATATTAATCGTAATAGCGGCCCCCTCGTCACAGCTCTTAGCGTGCCCATAGGCTTCCACATCAGGGCTGTCATGGGTGTTGGTCAGATTGGACAACACTACCGTAGTAGTTGAAATGTGGTGTCTGGCAAATTTGACGGAGCCGGCTTCCCAGTCGATCGAGTCGTGATGTCTCTTGATCCATGGAATACCAAGGATTCCATCGTAGTCGTCTTTGATGCGGGTGATTATAAAACAAGTCTGGTTGGTGTCGTGTTCAAGGAATAAGTCAACTTTGTATGATGCTCGGCTGGTGGAGCCATCAAAGCCAATCACAATGTGTTTTGCATCCACTGTGTGGTTAATGAGACCTGTGTGGCGGGCAAACTTCTCAGTCAATATGTCATGTGTGGCACCAGAGTCAATAAGAAAGCAAGCAGGAAATGTGAGGTAGGACGTGGCGCGGGGTTGCTGGGACAAGGAAAGTGAACATTGTAGAAAAATGTGAGGATCAATTTCATTGCAATAATTCAATTTACTAGCACCCAGTTGAATATCATTCAGAACCCCTTTGTGGCTCAGGATAGGCACATAAATCAAGCCTGAGCACCGCCATTTTTTGATGATTCCGCTCTACTAACACCATCATCCTTTGTTCTCATAGCCGCCAACTCCACTTCCAATTCTGAAACTCTAGTCCTAAAACCTCCTCAACTCTCTCTCCCCTTCCCTTTATCAGTTCTTCTCTTAGGACATTCATTTGCTCAATGACCTTGCTCATTACACCAAAAAGACAGTCCTGATCTCATTTGTTGTGCTTTTTCATCGTCTGAAAGTCTAATGAAACCTGAAGAGATATCCATCGCGTTGGGGTCGTTGGTAGGTACATGAAAAGCGGTGGTGTCGTTGGCTCCGTGTAATTTAGTATTGATTTTGATAGCCAGGTTTGCAATTTCCTCTATGCTCTTAAACTCTTCTTGATGCATGACCATTGCAATACAAATTTTATTTTTAAGGCCTTGTTTGTACTGACTTATTAAAGTAGGGGTTTCCCACCCAGTCCATGTCTTCTCTGTCCAAGCATCTGCGAGGAGAGAGGTGAGGGAAGTGTACTGAGAACACTTCAGCTCATGCAAGCTAGGCAGGAGTGCGTTAGCGGTACTTGCCCTCCTGAGAGTATGTCTCTAGAGGGTGAGGACCGCGTGCTTTGGGTGGAACCTAGCGCCAGCCTTGGAGAAGCGGAAAGAACTCTGTTCTTCCTCTTAGACTGTCCAAGGCTGGGCAACTTGCATGAGAGCGGGGAAGAGCCCCTTCAAACCACGGGTGGGAGGGAGAGCAAAGGGTTGCTTGAGGGTTTGAAAATCAGGGGGCTGATACCCGCGCGCCAAAAAAGCTCGGAAGAGGCGGGACGAGTTGTGAGAATGGACTTGGCAAGAAGGACAAAGGAGAGAGAAGTGTTCCTGGGGAACTTTGAGAGGGAAATGTCTCTCTACCTTGTGCCTTGTCTGAGGCCTTTCCAGGGCCAGGCTGACCAATCCAGAGGGTTGGCTATTTGTTCAAGTCCGGATCCGTGTTTCACACGCTGACGGGATGTCCTGTTCTTCGGCGAGCTTTCCGTGGCGAGACATGGACAGGTGTGATTCCTGGTACCGGCGTCACCACACTTCAATTAAGCTCGTGCGTATAAGCAGCTACCGTAGTCTTTTGTGGCAGGTTATGTAACAATTGCTCCGCCTTAGCCTTCTTCTCCGTGTAGAAGTACATGGCTTTAAAATTAGTAACGAATTGCTCAAAAGTGACGAGGTGAGACTTAGATTCATCTAACAACTCGTGCATCAGGGGCTGAGCCCAGCTGCTAGCGGTCCCGTGAGATAGGCCATAGCAAACACAACCTTTTGTTTATCGTTTTCGAATAGGTATGGGTGGGCTAGCATTTATAATTGTACCTGACTAGCAAAAATCTCAGCTGGGGCACCACGTGTCCCGCTAAACTTGTTGGGAGCCGCCACTTTAGGCCCTTTGGGCGTGGGTGTGACGGCAGGTGCTGGGCTGTAGGTTGGCTTCCAGGGTTGTGTGCTGGAGCTGTATGATGAGCTTCCATTGCAGCCAGTCTAGCTTCTGACTCTCGAGCCCGATTTTTGGCCTGCGCCCTGAGTGCTCGTTCTTGGTTGAGGGACACAGTCAACTTGTTGATTTTGTGTTGTATGTCTTCCATTTCTGTAGATGAGAGTGGCGTCGACAAACTGTGACAGTGCGTCAAGGTCTAAATCTTCGTTGTTTAGTGAAGGAGTTTGGTATGTGGGAGTTGTTGTGACGGTAATGAGAAGGTTTGATGTGGGGAAGGTTCAATCTTGTAGTTGAGTAATTGGATCTGGGTAATCTTAGTTTGAGTCTGTTAATCTGAGATCTGAGTCTGTTCTTCTTGGAGGTTTGGCTTGTATCTGATGAATTCTAATCTTAATCTATTTTAATCTGTAATGTCTAATCCGGTTTCTTCTGTTCTTGTTGTTTGAATTGAGAGTCATGCAAGGACTTCTCTTGAGCAGGACGTGTATAGATAAATGTGCATTATCAATAAGGGTTCTTGCTAACATCATGACGCGATGTAATGAGTTCGAGTTATTCAGTTATAAAAAGACCAATCATGTTTCCACTCTGTTTGTTCTTTTTCTCATCGAACTCATTATCAAGTTTCCTACAATCTTTCGCTTTCCTCAGATTGTGGTTTCTTTTTGATCAAACATCAGTCCACCTGTGTGTACTTAAACCTACCAAGTGTATTGGATGATACACATAAGTGTATCATCCAATGTAGTCCGCTTATAAGCATGTAGATTTTCCTAGATACATAGTTGCTTCTTGGGTAACCTCAAAATAATTACAAGTCCCCATTCCCCAAGGGGGGGGGCTTGTACCCGTCGAGCACCCAACAAAATGATCACGAGTGTATCACAATATCTCACTACTGTACAAAAATCATCACGACTACACCATCAAAACTCACTACTACATAGCAAAATCACGAGTACGAAGCTTAATCTCACGACTCAACATCAGGAGTAACAAGCGTGATATTTCATCTTACTACCTAATAGATCATCTCACGCCTACACCTTCCCATTTCACTACCTAATAAACAAATTCACGAGCACACCATCTCAACTCACTAGCATACAACCCAACTCACGAATGACATTCAGTATCACAAATGCATCTCCTCATCTCACTACCTCATAAGTGATATCACGACACCACACAACCTCATATCACTATCATACACCTCAACTTACGAAACCGGTGACTTACGATCTGAGCATTCAAGCCAAAATACATACATCGCACACTCCATTGATCCATACTTACAACTTACGACTTCAAGATCAACCTCGCACTACCTCAACACTCCTCCCTCAATTTAGCAACCCATAAACCACTTACTACACATTTGTACACCCACTTTCGATCAGATGGACACGATTTCTCAAACGTCTATTCAACATATCTTACCTCTCCCCGATGTGATTGAGATCAACCACCCCGATCGTAGTAAGATGGACGATTACGTTCTAAACTTCGACGCTATTCAGCACGGCTATTGAATGAGGATCGGTAACTCGCACAGCCGGAGTAACTTGATTCATTACGAATGCTACCGAGCTGGTTACCCAACTGGCGGCTCCCTCTCATCCGGAACCACTAAGTCTGTCAGGATCGACTGCCCATTCAGGCTCAACGGTCGATTTTTCCCCGACACAGGCAATTGGCTCCTTATCCATACCCACCTTGGCCATAATCATCCCCCTGACCCCAATGTCAAGCCTCGCAAACGACCCAGCAAGAAAAACAAACCCCTGGTACCTGCTCTCGTGGAACCCTCAATAGAACAACATAGACCTTTTGACGCCTCACTTGAATCCACCATCTCATCTCTTTCCGCACGTTTACACGCTCTGACTCCTCACCGTCGACAAATCGCTATCATCAAAATCGATTCGATTCTCAATGACCCAATCCAGGGACCCCTGGCAGCAGTTCGCCCTGACCCATCGCAGAATTGGTCAAGCAATATCGACGTTGATATGCCTATCATCCAAAGCGATTCCCCAGGCACCACCACACTCAACATGCCAGTGGTAAGCTAGCTCCACCGTCTAAAACCAATCCAGACAGGCTGATCACAACCGTCTTACATCTTTGACAGCAGTCCGATATGCAAAAGCTGTTCCCCAACAGCCCAGCCTCCCCAAACAACTACAAAATTGAAAACGCTACACATCACGACACTTTTGATGAACCCGTGAGTCATGCAGGTGCAGTCGATACGTATGCTAACTGACCAGCATTTTACTCCCTCAATTCATTTGTTATATTATCTGTACATCATCCAGATCCGATCTTGCATAGGTGAAAGCATGTTTTCATTTGAGAAAACAAATCCTGCCACATCTCCCTACCCTACGAACGAATATGTACGTCGAGGTTCAGGTTCCTCCATCAGGACCAAATTAACATGTACTAACCTTCAACCTACTAATATTCAACCGCTTCAAGATCGATAGCCTAGTTGATGACTTCTACGGACCCACTGAAGACACGACCTCCACTTTCAATATGGAAGACCTCAGTTCTGACCCTAAGGCCAAAGTACAAGAACCCAACAAACCCCTTCCCACAGCTTCCACCTCGCTTAGTCCAACACCTACGACATCAAACCTCACGCTGCCTGCACCAGTAACGAGGATCACCAGGAAGCGAGCTCGCGAACTTCCACCTCTCATGAAGAAATATCGCATACGGGACCGGCTGCAACCATTTATCCTCGATGTATGCGAAGTAGAGGCGGATGGACACTGCGGCTTTCGCGCCATCGCGGTAGCCCTTGGCCGTTCTCAAGACGAGTGGCTCGATATACGCCAGAGCATGGTCAACACTGTAGAGAGCTATCCTCAACTGTTCTCTGACGACACGCTACCTCAGCCGCGTGCCAAAGGGTTAAACCGCCTTCGGACACGCAAACGAAATGTAGTGTCCCAGCAAGAGCACTGGCTCACCATGCCAGGTTGGGGTGGAGTTATAGCTACAACATTTGAGCGTCCAGTGATATACTACGACCCTGGTGCATATAGCCAGACTATATTTCCTTACCTCACAGGACCTAATCAGCATCCACCAATCGTCCTAACCGTCGCATCACTCCACTTTTGCACCCTCAAGCTTGATCTGACCTTGGAGGGCCTCCCAGTTCCACGAGTTTGTAAAACGTGGCGCCGATATTGCAACGAGGACGCGACTCATTGGCTTGACACATGGGGTCCATTGATTGAACTCAATGAGCAATTCATCAAATCCAATAACAAAAGTGGCAGAAAGAAAAAACAACTGGCTCCAATAGTTGTATCTGATTGAGTTGAACATCGGCTATATTTACTTTAGATCATTCTGTTACGTGTAGATGTCCCCTCTTTTCATTTCAAGTTATTTTTTGTTTCCTTTTTTGTTGCAACTAGATGCCATGTCATAACATTGTTTGAGACTGAGCGAATTTTACCCAAAAACCAAATAACAGAACAAATTCAGTCACAGCATGTTGAAGTCTTGCGTGAGTGAGAGCCCCTACGAAGCCAGAAACACCTAGGGGCCTTACTTCGAGCCTCATCTCATCCCGGAGTCAGTTCATTACATCGGGACCAAACAGACCGTAACCGCGGGTCAAAGTGTACAGGAAGACGTGCTTCAGCGAAACCTGAAAGCCATTGAGATGACATCTCCAATTTCAAATCTCCTGCTGGCCGTCAAACTTCACTGACTGACGATGTATTCAATCTCCAACCAATCAATTGTTCAACAGGCGAAACAAGCACCAAAGACTAGAGCTCATTGCTATTATGACGAAATACGTTATCGGAATGTAACGTGAAGATGAAAGGCGACACAAATCTTTAACTAATATGCCTTAGTGGGCTAGGCCGACTTGGAGTTCCGATTTGGCTCAATCATACCAAATAATATACCCAATTGGGCTAGACCCATCTGGATGCCAGTCACGTCTTTCGCCCAACTCCACCGTCGCGGTTTCCCGCAAAATAAAGTGGATGATATTTGGCCTAGCGTGTCATGTGATACCATTTCGGTCAAGAGACCCCTGTCACCCTGCCAAACCTCTGATTTAGCTAATGAAAGATTCTATGGAATAATGTCCGATATATCGAATGATATATCAGTTGAACCATCAGTTCACCGGAATGACACACCTATGCAACGAAAAGTTCAGAGCGAAAAGATCACCATCTGACCTTCTCACCATCTTGATGCCTTCCCGCCGAATTCTGCGTGGCTTACACAATGTGTCTAAAGAACCTAAGCCTACTACACCGTTGCAACGTCAAGAACTCGCACTACGCAAGCTCGACCAAGAGCGTACTGAAGCTTCACATGCAGGACGTCTAAGAAGGCTAAAGGAAGAGCATCATCCAGATGTGGACAACTTTCAGCAAGGCGAGCACGCATATGAACTTCAACTCCCGCCTGAGGATGTGGACGTTGATGCAACAGACGTGGCCGGAGATCTCGATTACAAAGAGATTGATATGAACCAATTCATGCCTCACCATGGCCCAGCCGACCCAGACGAATATCAAAATGATCCTGTGGTCATTGCGCTTAGAAAAGAAAAACATCAGGCCGCCCGACTAGCGCATGAAAACCGTTGGGCTTGGCAGTATGCCATCATGGTACCAACTTTCCTTTGTTGTCGGCTTGAAACTTCTAATTGGGGTAATGAAACAAATTGGAATAATGACTTCAGTACGACTTGCTCATGCCCAAATAAGTCTGAGCAAGACGTTGACCTGGTAGACTTGCTAAGTGAACAAACTTATGATTCATTAAGATATCGTCCTCATTGGTTACTGATTCCTTGTGATTTCGTTGTTATTAGGTGGTCGACGTGTCAAAGTATCTTTCTGTAAAGACTGTGACCTTTCAGACACAACCCGGCTCCTGCTCATGGGATACATGGCAGCTTCTCCAGCTAAGCCTTGAACGGCTTTTTCTTTGCGCCTCCTGCGGCACCATCACGCCCAATGGTTACGCTTAGCTGTGGCCACTCAAGGCTTTTGTGAGGCCCTTGATGATTGCCTTGACGATCATAACCCTTTAATCCTAACCAGCAAAGGTGCAGTGAGTCATCTTTCCAAAGATTACATGTACCCGGACATCACTCAACCTTCTGGTCTTATCAGCCTCGCGATTGGCGACAACCCTTCACCGCTGCCATGGATGCGTATCGTGCTATCAATCTTCATATTCGCAAACTCGAACATGAAAGACTCAAACTCTCACAATTGGGCATCCTCGCTGCTAATTGCCCAAAATGCTTTGGTCCTTCTGTAGGTATTGCAAGACCATTGGAATCATTGGAATCAGATGTTGTGATATGCCTAGACGGCAATTTTCAGCATAAAAGGCACGCTGCAGCGAGTGTACCCATTCCAGGGTTTCACCCACCACGCCCCGACATTTTCCTGGATCCGAAGTTAGTTGAAGCAAAAGCTCGACATATGGCGGGTCTGCCTGATGAACCGGAGGAATTGGTCAGTAAGAACGTGCAAGAGGTTTTTCATGTATAAAAAAGTGGCTGATGTGATGGTGGAACTTAGGACGCTTGTACCGAAGCCCATACAACGGCCAATGACGTCAGGGGTAAGGCCCACTTTAAGTCAATGGATGAATCAGGTCTCATGGGCATGGCATGCCGTCATGATCACTTTATCAAATTGATAAATCTTATTCAATCTGGTGAAAAGTATGTGTGAAAGGTCTATCCTGACAATTACATACGTATATACTTTGCATACTCACAAACTATTTGATTTGAATTGCCCTCCTAGGTAACATTATGCAGTTGCACTTGTCCAGTGGCTGCTTGATCTTTTTGCCAATGAGCAAGACGACGATGTGAGCCTGGCGATTCTTTACGATATTGGCTGCACTCTCGATAAAACCGTGACAAAGGTTGATTTTGTCTTCACATCACCTCGCTAAATGGTGTTGACGTTTGTGTATATATATTGTTCCTAATTTGAAGAAAAAAGTATTCACAGATGAGAAGTATGCGGCCCAAGTACGCTTTGGAACCGCTTTGTTCCACGCGTACGCACACAACTGGGGTTGCCAACTTAAGTACAACCCGCGCCTCAATCAGGGGTGGGGGAAATCGAATGGGGAGGGGCTTGAGAGAGTTTGGATGAAGCTGTCACCCCTGATCAAACTGATGCACTATGCAACGAAGCAGCACCGTCTTGTCAGTCTTGACCTGTGGACAGCTCACAAGAACGAGATCCTGCGCAACAAGGGAGGTAAGTATAAGTTGGCATTTATACCTCTGCTTCATCACCCTCTGACGTGTTCAGCTGATTAAGTTCCACCCAGTCCATTTTCTTGTCGCACACACGGATAAATACAAGGCTGAGCTTCAGCAGTCTCAAAACAGTCTATCAGAACTTCATCGTCAAAACCCTACTCATACTGCAGCTTATTTTGAGGCTCAGTGGGTTCGCCAGCGTGATTTACAGCTCAAGGCAATCAATGTCAAATCTAAAGAAAAACGTGCGCGTGTGGAGGTCTTGGTTCAACTGGAAGAGGACCTCCTTGAAACTCGGTAGGTTTCATTACTTGTGAATAAAATAAAGATGCCTGCCTTCAGCTCACTGGGCGAATGATTCAGAAAAAGACTAGTGGAGTTGAACCCCGCTAATGCAGCAATAAGAACTGGTGAGCAGCGTCACGACGTGCTTGACCTGCCCGCTTCCCTTGCAAACCTCGAAGAAAAAGTCCAGGAAGTCGCCAACGAACTGGGAAATACCGAATTGTTTAATGTTCGTCGAGGATCAGGTAAGTTCCTCAATGATACCCACCTATTATATGTTTGGTCAGTGCCGCTTACTTCACACGGAAGCCAATCGCATTAAGTCGGTTTTGACAGTCCAGGTCGCACTCGCAGCCCTCTACGAGGCCAGGTTTGATGTTATCCAGCAGAGAGCTGATGCCGCAATCAGAACTGGTAAGTCTTTTTGATTAAAGACGTTTTCAAACAATGCCATTGTGTTGATCTCTAATCCTTTGATCTCTCTCTGAACAGGTGCCACACAGCAGCCACGCAACAAAAAGTTGCGCAAGAAGAAGCGGGATCTATTGAAAAAGAAAACCGAGACTTACTTGAGACATGCCTCGAAGTACAACCACCGATTCCGACCCCCAAACCGTTTGCGTGAGCCTACTTTTGATGAAATCCTCAACATGGATTTACTGGATCCTTTCTGGGATGAGACCGCATTAAATCATCCTGAAGAACCTTGGTCATCATGCCAAAAGACCAAAGACGGCATATTGTGCTTTTGTAGTGTAAGATCTTGTGAAGAAGAGCTCCGCAGATTGGGCCGCGAAGTGAGGCGACTCATGCTATGGGGGCTGGACTACCAAGCTAGGGTTGAGGCTGCACGTCCAAATATTGAGAATGGTGAGTCCAAAATGAACTACAAAGCACAGTAGTTTTTCGCCCTAAGATTCCCGTTTTTTTCAGGTGATTTACGTGTGGTCAAGTGGAATGCTGTTCACAGTACACTCAACAAACAAACCTGTCGACTATGGAAGAGATGGGATAGAGGATTGTTAGATGTATTGAATTCAACTGCTGAGTATGTCGAAGGTAGAGCAGATATGGATGATAACCTCATAATACAATGGAACGAAATGGTAGGGCGCACGTCCAATATGTGGGCTGAAATCCTAGGTGTCCCCATCTTCTTGGCACACCCAGAGGATGAACTTGAGCAGGAAGAAGCACAAGATGAATATGCGGAGTATGAATATGAATATGAATATGAATATCAGCTTGATTTTCTTTGATATTATACAGTACCAATGATTGTGTTTGTTTTTCAAAGGCGAGTTTGATAAGTTGTTCAGAGATTTGTAGCCATTGGATACACAGCACACCTTGAAATCAATACATAATGGGAAATAACTATACTTTTTTGTAATATAAATTATCCATTTTGAGGATAAGGATGGAGTGGTAAGAACCAATTTTATTGAGGTGAAAGACTTGACTTTTGCAGCTTGCAATGCAGTTTTCAGGTTGAAGCAGTGGTGCTACGTGAAAAGTTCCATAATGAAAGTTGTTCAGCATGGAGAAATACACATAAAGTCAGGAGGATGACATGAAATTGGGTCATCTTCAAAGACTTCAAATCATATTTGTGCAACTTTGGGGTGAAAGACTTGACTTTTGTAGCTTGAATGGCAGTTTTCAGTTTGAAGAAGTGGTGCTACGTGAAAAGGTCCATAATGAAAGTTGTTCGGCATGGAGAAATACACATAAAGTCAGGAGGATGACATGAAATTGGGTCATCTTCAAAGACATCAAGTCATATTTGTG